AACAGCAATCTTTTGAAAGCTCCACAAAGCTGTAGCCAGTGTTCGGATTGGTATACTAGCACACTGCGTACTGCACACTAGTCAGTATACACTGAATACGGCCCACTATTTTTTAGATAGCATGTGAAATGGTACGCATTATGCAACAATAAAAATTAAGCTACATTTTGTTAAAAATTATAGTGGATTTTAATTTCAGCTTATTCGTTACTCATGTTGAATCGACTCGTATCGACCACATTGCATTATGGGATCTGATTGTATACTGCACATTTTCACCCAGGTATTCTATGCATACAGAAATTATACATACTATGCACAGTATACATACTGTAGTATGTAGTATGCTATTCCGAACACAGCCACAGTTGTTGCACTATTCAGTAATTCGCCCTACGAATGGTTTACTTACAGTTGTCTCTGCATATTAAACCAGGATAGAAGATTTTAATGAAGTTATTTTAATGAAACAAAATTATACACTTCAGCTTGAAGAACTCGTAATGGACTGTAAAACAGTACAACAAGTGCACCAAACAAAGCTGAAGCTAACCACTATTAACTTATTGCACTTCTCACTTTAAATGTATACAGCACATGAGTTTAACTGCCATTGTTTGGAACTAAGTTATTTTTACTGTTAAACATCAGACATATAGTTATAATAATGTCATATGAATGGATTTTTATGTGTATTTTGATGGTATGTCCTGTAGATTTCAGGCCTATTCACACCAAGTCCAATTTTTTGGGCATAAAATAAATGCACGGCCAGATTTTAAGATTGAACCTTTTTGTGTGTACGGATTCAAGATTGATTTATTTAAAATGCCGAACAGTTACTTCAGGTATCCAGACTTTTTTTTCAGAGAATGAAGAAAATTATGCATCAAAAAAGTTTTGGTGCAAAAAATGGCTTCCAAATATTTTATAATTCCGTATATTTTAGTCACCTCAAACTTGGTGTGAACAGACCTTTACTAAAGCACAATTTTTAAGCACAAGATCATATTGTATCTCTTATTATTGATGTAATATTAACAGTTTATTTAGCAACCTAATAAACTGCAAGTGTTAGAATTGGTAACCCGCAATGAAATGGTGCACAAGATTATATTAAATATGTATAATATTCATGATTATTCCCCTTTGGTTTATATGAATTTGATCAGAAAATTGTGCATTAATTGCAAATATATGGTCTGTTTCTACTGAAATATTGTGACAGTCTTTAACTATTGTACCGTTTCATGTACTGTATATTCACTTGAACTCAATACAAACATTCAAAGATTTTTCTTGTGTCGTTATATTCTGTCTGACTATATTGCGCTTTCTGACTACACAATGATTCTGACCATGTTTTTGGTTCATTTCATGAACGTCATAAGGACAATTCTAGACACACTTTAGATTCAGTATTTAAGTCAGTGGTGTGATCCGTACATTATATACAATTATTACATAATAAAACCACTTCACCTATTCATCATTGAATGGTTTTCAGTCTTGATCTTTCATCTAAATTTATATCTAAAAATTTTATAACTGTGCTTACAGCCAAAGTTTGAAACGCCGCTCTCATAGTCTCTCAATTTCACGCAAGGATGGTCAACAGATCCCATCACAACGCCCTACAGCTCCTAAATAGAACAGAAGGGGCCTGGTCAATAATTCATGTCCCTTAAAAATGCAGCCTGATAAGACAATTCTGAACCCCACATAAAATAACGAAAATAGCATCTCTGATGTAAATTTTATGCTTTTTGTTAACCTAATTAGGATAATTAGTGGTGTTTGCTAATTAGAAGTGTATGTTTATGGCCAAAATACAAGTGACATTGTTTTTTGACTTTCATATATTCTAGATACATTACATGTAACGTAAAACATTTCAAAAGTTTTTTTTGTTTTCATTTTGATGATTAGAGCTTACAGCTCATGAAAGTCAAAAATCCAGTATCAAAATATTCGAATATTTCCTAAGATCAATAAAAAAAAAAGGATTTGCAAAACAGAAAAGTTCAAGTTCTTTAAAGTATGTTCATTTATGCACTCAATACTTGGTCGGGGCTCCTTTAGCACAAATTCCAGCATCAGTGAGGTGTGGCGTGAAAGCAATCAGCCTGTGGCACTGCTGAGGACTATTGAGCCTTCAGCTCGTCTGTATTGTTGGATCGACTGTTTCTCATCTTTCTATTGAAAATATCCCACAGATTACATATGGGGTTCCGGTCAGGCATGTTGGCTGGCCAATTAAGCACAGTAATATCATGGTCAGCAAACCACTTGGAAGTGGTTTTGGCACTGTGGGTAGGTGCTAAATTCCTGCTGGAAAAGGAAATCAGCATCTCCATAAAGCCTGTCAGCAGATGGAAGCATAAAGTGATCCAAACTCTCCAGGTAGATGGCTGGCTGCATTGACTTTAGACTTGATAAAACACAATGGACCAACACCAGCAGACGTCACACCACCCCAAATCATCACTGACTTCGGAAACTTCACACTGGACTTCAAGCAGCTTAGATTCTGTGCCTCTCCAGTCTTCCTCCAGACTCCAGACCTTGATTTCCAAATGAAATGCAAAATGTACTTTTATCTGAAAAGAGGACTTTGGACCACTGAGCAACAGTCCGGTTCTTTTACTCCTTAGCCCAGGTAAGATGCTTCTGAAGTTTCAGAAGTGGCTTGGTAGCCCTTTTCCTGAAGACGTCTGAGCGTGTTGACTCTTGATGCACTGACTCCAGCTTCAGTTCACTCCTTGTGAAGCTCTCCCAAGTGTTTGAATCGGCTTTGCTTGACAGTATTCTCAAGCTTGCGGTTATTCCTGTTGCTTGTGCTCCTTTTCCTACCCAATTTCTTCCTTCCAGTCAACTTTGCATTTAATATGCTTTGATACAGCACTCTGTGAACAGCCACCCCTTTCAGTAATGACCTTCTGTGACTTACCCTCTTTGTGGAGGGTGTCAATGATTGTCTTTTGGCCCATTGCCAAGTCAGCAGTCTTCCCCATTATCGTGGTTTCAAAGAACAAGAGATACCCGGAATTTATACTGTAGGGATGGTCATTTAATGAAACTCAAATGTAAATATTCTAATATTTTGAGATACT